GGTCCGTGGTACAAAAAAGGTTGGGGGTCGCTGCATTAGAGGTTACAGGTGTACCTAATAAATTGGCCTCTGAGTTTATAGTTTTAACTGTAAATTTTTTTTCTTATATTTTTAGTTGGCTATTATACACTGAAAGGACATTTTCAAAAATTATATAACATGTTTATGTTATTATATTTGCTCTAAAAAAGGGGGGAAGGAAAATGATTAGAGTTTCTGTAAGTTGTGGTTAAAATACTGTTTAAAATATAAAGGTTTTGTTTATTTTCAGTCCCGATATGTCCGTGGACAAAGCCATAATTTTATTATTTCTTTTCAGTCTTCCACTCATGACAGTTTCTACTACTTAAATTTATTTTTCATTCATTTCAGTCTGACCTCTGTTTGTAGTCGCACTGCTTTTATTGTTCGACTTTGTGCGTCTGTTTTCCTGGTTTACTGTCAGAGAGCAGCCTGTGTGTGTCTGTGTGTAAACTGGGAACTGAATATTTCTATGAATAATGTACAAAGAGGTGGATTATGGATGCGAGTTGCCTGTGATCTTGGACATAATCCTGTCTCCACACCTCCTCCCCCCAGATGTTCTGCTCATGGAGCAGACTCACACCAGCAGACACACTTTGTCTTCTCACACCCTGGGATCGTGTTTCGTTTCTCCGAGATCTTCTGTCCGTTTTTGTTTTATTCTCATTTCTCACTGTGTTTCTGCAGGATGCAGATAAGTACGTTTTTACACACAAACACAGCCACGTTATTCTACACCCCCACACACTCACCCAAGGATTCTCTGCAGCACAAAGCTGCAAAGGATTATGGGTGACAGCGAGGCTCAGTGTGTGTGTGTCTTGTGACCGTGAGGTGACGGCCTGTAACTGTCACAGTCTGAGAAACAACCCAACTCTTTCTTTACAGCTTCACAGAGAATAAATTCATCTGTTCATCTTTATTCTTCCTGTGGATTTACAGAGATGTTGGCTTCATCTGAGCCAGCGTCTTTAGATTCTGTAACGGTCTCTAGCGGTTTGCAGTGTTTGGAGGCAAACACAAACGTCATATCTGATGGAAAACAGCCACAAAACTCCCTGCAAATTTCTATTTAACTGTCATTGTCCTCAGTCAGTCCCCTGTCTTGTCTTTATGAAGTGAAGTTGATGGAAACACAACACAACTCTTTACTGTGACGACTTGTTGGAACTTGGTTTAATATGTGCACAGCTGTGCACGTTCATAATGTTGGGTATGCCACTGACGACAGCACACCGAGCTGAGTGGAAACCTACTTACATCATCTTGGCTCCACAGACCAGACTCCATTTCATCATCAGGAGATTTAAAGAGAGCTCGGTACTCAATAAAAATCCATCTCAGTTCTGCAGCAGGTGCAACGGTGAGACTGGTTTCTAGAGCCTGTCAGTAAATCAAGTGCACGACGCCACAGTGACAGGAGAAAACACAGCAGACACACACACTGAGGTAATCTGATCTCTCTCTTCACATATTCCCATGGGAAAGTTCATGGTCACTCATTGTTTCTGTTTTTCTCTGCCTTAATCCCTCGTTCCTCCTGCAGGTCTCCCACCCACTCTCACCTCCGTCTGCCCTTTGTTTCCTATTTGTTTATTTGTATTTCTTTTGGTTTTACACTCATATAAACTCTGTCTCATTTTAGCATTGTCCTTATGTAGAAGAAGTGTTTGGAAAATGTTTGGTTTCATCAGTCGTCACCACAGCAGTGACCAGAGCCAAAGGTTTCCATCGGGAGGTGGTGGACATCAAACCCAGAGCTAACAAAGCTAACAGAGCTAACACAGAGGGGGCCCCCTGGGCTGAGGCTCTTCAGGGGACACATGAAGGAGCATGTTGTTGTGCAGCTGCTGGGTGTGAAGTGAACAAGTGTGACAGATCATCTTAAGCCTGATGGAATGTCAGCGCTGTGCTTACAGATGTTTTCCTTTATCATTGTGTTGCATCTCTTTTTGTATCTCTGTGGCTGTTTTGAGTCTTTTTGTAGATGCTTTATGTCTCGTTTCATTTGTGTGTCATGGTTGTTTTTTGTGTCTTAATGGTCGGTTTGTACTTTATGGTCACATGCATCGTTTTGCATCTCTTATTGGCTGGACTTTTGAATTTCTTCATGGTCATTTGTAACTATTTGTAGTCATGTAGTATCGTGTTGTGTCTCTTTGCATCTCACAGTTGCTTGATTGGCTTTCCAACACTAAATACCAACATTCCCTTCACACAGGGTCTCTGGCCCAGTGACCACCTGACCCCCTGAGCCTGAGGTCAGTGCAGCTGTTCAGCTACTGATCCATATGCAGCTGTAAAGTCAGAGTGGGTCAGCCCAGTTTCTGCTCACAGATGTGACGTAGCTGCTGTCACTGTTAGCACTCAGGATGCTAACGTGTGGTACCTACAGGCCTGATAGCGCACACACCCCATCAGTCCTGTGTTTGCTCTAAAGCTGAGCTGGATCATTCTGTGCCTGCGTTCTTTCATCCCCCACCTCCCTTCATC